TGCAGTATAAGAGTCAGCCTCAAGAGGCTAGAGTGGGTATAATAGTCTACTGTATTTGTTCAGTTTCCCTTTCTGGTGCGAATGCGCGAACAGCCTAGAAGGATGGGAAATGACTTGCTGTTAAAATAAACTATTCCTACTTCATGTGGGTTATAATTTACGCCCTCGAGCAAACCATGCAACAACCTCCATTTGACCGAGAGGATGTCGTGAAAGGAACATTTTAAACGGAGTAAAAAGTTGTTAAATATTGATTTATTACTGATATAAAATTGAGCTTGCCTATGACGTGGACGTCTTGTTTTAATGTCAATGTTTTTGTCAGCTCCAGCTATCTGCTGATTCGCCTTTTGTCTTTCCTAGAAAACCCAAGTTTTACTGGTAGCTTTTCTCGGAAAAGCTGGCTTAGACCGGATTTGTTCCATCTACTTTTCGTTCAGTTTAGAAATGAACATACTGCCAAAAAAATGTAAATAGAAAAGACGACGGGGACTGAATGAAGATATGAGATAAAACGACATTCTGAAATTACAACCAATAATACACCACTTGTCAGCTTTTCAGGAATAAAGATCGGACTTTATAGCACATAGTCCTGCCTTAGTGATGTTTATGACAGCACGGTGTAATTAATATCAGACTCATATCCGATCTTTCTTGACAAAATGATGACCTCCAAGACCCACTCAGGGGGTGATTTATTATCATGAAGAAACAAAGACTATAGAATTTCATAATCTCTATAGACAATTCTATCTGCGCCAATGGCGTCAACTCGCTTTTCATCAAATCTCCACACCGTTGTGTCAAGTCTTCATCTGATTTTTACAATCGCATCGGTTGCTTTTCTTTCTTTCAAAGTCTATCACCTGGAGTGTGAGCTTTCCTTAATTCGAGGAAAAGTTTTTTCAAGTGAAGGCGACATAAAAGTGACCGAAGTGACCCCGCTGTCTGCAGATTCAAATAATGAAGAGCTCAGAAGAGAAAGAAATCGCCGAGATGATCAACAGAAGTTCAAATCATATACAGGAGACAACCTCAAGGCAGCATGTGTCCAGAAGTTGTTGGGCGATCTTCAGGTATCAAATTGTTTCCCTTTAATTTGTAGCATTTTTGTACAATTACTGAGCGATCGAGTGAGTCAAGTTGCCAGTTTCCGTTCGGACATATCTAGGTAGTGCGTCAGTGTTGCGAGTGTGCGAGTGTGCGTACGTGATTACTAGCCCTGGCACTTATAAACTATAGAAAAAGCGCAAAAATTTGGAATTAAGCAGTGCATTAGAAAAGTGCAGCAACTTTTAGACCTTCGGCGTGATTTTCTTTGAATCCCAATTTCCATGACCCGTTGAGTAATTATAACATCCACTACGGGAACCATTTTGAACTAATGGCACAGCATATCTCGTACGTATCTATAATAATAATGATGATGGTTTATTAAAATACACATGGTGGCATAAAAACTATGAATTACAATGTGCTTACATAAGTTACAACTAAAAATAAAATTACATTTGTTTCAGAGGGACCAGAGGGACTGGGATTACAGGCTATTTATAAGTTATTTACAATTCAGATATAGATAAAGGACAGTACTAGAGATAACTAGACTCGTAAGATTAGTTAATTTTCGCCATTGCTGGGAAAAAACTAGAACCGAAGCGTTTTGTTCTATACTGGAAGCGGCTAGAACTGCTACTGTTCCTAAGATGGTAAGAGTGGCATTCGGATCGCACGGGAGGGAGAAGGCGGTGCAGCTGGCCATCCGGGTTATTTTTGATATTGTTCTCCCTATTTTACCACGTGCTGTTAGTTAGTCTCCCTCGCAGCCGTTTTTAGTATCGTCACGCAACGCTCCTCGAGGAGCGTTGCGTGACGATACTAAAAACGGCTGCGAGGGAGACTAGCTGTCAGTCAAATCACTGAAAAACCTACCTAGACTGTTTCCCTTCCCTGATTTCAAGTTATAGTCCTGATCTTGGTATCTAAGCACCAAGGAGGGTTGGGTAGAGGTGGAGGCGGGATAGAAGATACATTTGATACTCTTTTACTCTTTTACAGCATGGCAGCAAGCGCTCGTCGATTTGACGATGATACGAAAAAGTAGAGGATTGTAAACAGTCTTTCCCTAAATTAAGAAATCATATAGGAAATTCCCTCGTGAGCTTCCGGAGTCTCGGTAGACTAACTATAAGTATATGTTCACAGTGTAAGTTGCACTAGTACTAGGCTGAGTCATCAACTGAACACAGTCGACCCACGATCCATTACAGTTTAACTTATTTGAATCTAAGGACCTCTTGCCTCGGGGGGCGGGGGGGGGAGTGCTCCCTTATATTTGTCTTATAGGTAACGTATGTGCCGCCCCAAAGGGTATGGTTTGTGCGCCTTTTTGGTCTGAAAACGGCGGGCAAAGGCTTTGCCTATTTTCGTCTGAATTAGCGTTTGTTTTTCCAGGGACTGAATACGCGTCAGAGTCCATGAACGTATTTGTCGTTTCAAGTCCAAATGAATAGGAAAGAAAGAGCAATATGCGAATTCGAAATGGATTTTAAGAAATCTTTTTGTTGGCGTTCTAATCTAAGTAATTATATCATAATTTCTGCCTACACTAGGTCTGAAAACGGGCATGGATCGAATTTTGGTTTGAGACAGTATTGTCAAGATTTATAGAACCAGGTTGCACATCCCCAACACGAATTCCCAGGAATACCTCCCACGGGTACTGCACAAATGTTTGTGATCATGTGAGAGATTAGCCTGTAGTGCAGGCTTATTTTGGGCGGGCGAAAGCTGCTTGTTTTTGTTCGCACTGTTGTAACCGCTATCTTTGTTATTACCGAGGAAGATTAGGGAGAGTAAAAACCATTTTCTCCCCTCTTTTCGAAATTCAACAGGCGCTTTAGTTCGCAAGCAAAACATTCGCGTGCCGGAAGAAAACGCCTGCACTGCAGGCTAGCGAGAGATGGATTAGAATGAAAATACCAAATATCTTGGTATTTGCTTCGAGTTATTTCTTACCAATCTTGTAAATAATTGACTTGCAATAAGTTATGTCACGTTTATATTATTATGGTCTGGAATAATTTTTTCTTCAGGTCATCGATGATGCAATCAATGGAACTGGAAAACTTGTCTGTATGAGAGGTCAGTACAAATTAATCCAAAAAGCATCCTTGATTGGCGTACCGGTCGACACATCGGTAGAGTGTCTCTCGCCGGTCAAGTATCGGTCAGTATGTGGCTGAGAGTTTCCAGTTCGAAACAGAAACGTTACTCTGAGGTTCCCTTTCAGGTCCTCAAGGCCCACCAGGACAACCAGGTCCACGAGGTCATCGCGGTAAAACAGGACCACCAGGTTCACCCGGTCGTCGTGGCCGTCCAGGAATGCCTGGCAAAAACGGATCTCCTGGGAGGAGAGGTCCTCGAGGGAAACCAGGAAAGGGTTCCCATGTTAATGTTACGGAGATTGAAAACCTTCTGGAAATATTGAAGACATACAGTCCAGAGGATATAACGTTGTTTGGTAAGTACAAATCCTTTCGAAAGATATTTGAGATTGCAAATCGCTTTCTCTCCCGATCCTTTATTTTAGTAGTTAGTGAGTTAACTTTTCTCTTATGTACACCCGACAGCTCCGCCTCGATTTACAAAGAAACCCCCTTCTTTCATTGTCATTAAGGAGGGTGGTAATATATCATTCAGTTTTTCTACATCCGGGAATCCGGCACCCAAGATCACGTGGTCTATGCAGGGCCGCAGAGAAAGCCCAGATCGATTCAGGATACTAGATGACAAGTTTGAGATGGACAATGTGCGCTTTGAAGACGAGGGATTAATCACTTGTCACGCTGAAAATATGTTTGGTGTTGAAGTATCCAAATTGAATCTGACTGTTTTAGGTGAGTCAGTTGTTTATTTCAAAACGTGGCATATCAAGAGTAGGTGACAAACATGAAATTTAGGAGGAAGACCTACCACAAATAGGTACTGCTCGGTCTCCTTTCCTTTCCGTGTAGCTGTAAGTAGCTATAAATACCCGTTGGACGGAACACTGATGAAGAGAGAAGGGGGGGAGAGAGGGGGGGGGGAAATGAGCGCACCGTCGGTCGGCCTCAGGTTTGTTAGTCAGATGACTATCTGGAGTTATTCGCGTATATAAGGACTCTTTTTTTAAGCATCTTCATAGCTCAGTTATGTTTAAACGTGTGGTAAGTTATCGTCTTCCGTCTTTGAATACGTGCTCCTTGATGACTTCACTGAAAAGCGTGTGTTTACCTTTCTTTTCTTTTTTTTTCCCTGCAGGAGCGCCAAGGTTTCCCAAGTTCCCTCCAGTAAAATTGTACGGCTTCTTAGGTACAGAAACAAAAGTGGAATGTGACCTATTTGGAAACCCCACCCCTGAAGTTCAATGGAACAGATCTCCCTCGTCTCCTCTCCCTCCAGGACGTAGTGAGGTGAAAGAAGACGGACTTTATATTAGCAACACTAAGAAAGAGGACGAAGGCATCTACACGTGTCTTGCGACGAATGAATATGGTATGGTCATCCATGGAACATACCTCATAGTCAAGGCAGTGGGTAAGTAAGAACTAATTAAATTAACTGCAAAGGACCGCAAACGAATATTCCGCAGAACGAAGGATCTCAGAGGAAGACCTGACCAGCAATAAATATACAAAGATACCAAGTTAAGTCGGACTACGAATGTTCTTTAATAATTTCTCAATTGCGCGTGCTAATACATGTATAGAGCTAATACTTTGTCTTTTGGCTTACCTCATGGCAACCATCTAAAGTTGTAAGTTGTGTTCTTTTTTGATTACAGTGAAACTTGTATTAAGCGGACACCCTCGGGGAATGCTGTAGTGTCCGCTTAACACAGGGTGTCCGCCTAATACAGGTTTCGATAGATAACGTCATATGAAGTTTCAGATGCCATTCCAATGAACAGTGGAAATGTTAAGAATACTCCCGGAGACTTTGACGATATACGTTTGCATTAATAATGTTTCTTTATCAAAGTGGACCAATTGATCATAAACATAAATTGCAACTCAAATTTGAAGAAATCAGATGAGTGAAACAAGCTCTATACAAACAAAACGAAATAGAAAACAATCCTGTACAATGAAACCAATCAAATAATTTCGTCAAGTTACGTTTTTTAATGTAAAAATCGAAAAAGTTGTGGGTGGAAATTCGAGGCAATCTTTCGCATTTCCGGTGTCTAGCATGTTGGGTGGTGGAATTTGATTACAAGTGTCCGTTTGATACACGTTGGTAACAATAGAAATGACTATTCCAGGTACTTTATAGGTGTCCGCGTCCGCTTAATAGAGGTGTCGGCTTAATAAAGGTTTCATTTAAAGTAAATAAGGGAAATAAATTTTGGGCCTTCGGCTACTGTCCGCTTAATAGAGGGGGTCCGCCTAATACGGTTTCCGCTTAATACAGGTTTCACTGTATTATTATAAGTGTCGTGAACTTTCGCATTTTTATATAAATTTCAGTATCAGTTTTAAAAATGTACGTTGAATAGCATAACGTCAAGTTTACACAAAAATGCGGAAGTTCACAATATTCATCACCCCTGTTTGGGTTATAATTTTGATCTAGCGCTATTCAAGTTAATCCGTATCCGGTAGGGTTGGTAAGACCCCCCTATTCTTTCTTCTACAAGCCACAAGTTAGTGATTGGCTTTAGTTTTGGTGCTAGTGCAGTTCTTGTTACTAACGGGTCGGAAATATGGTCTCCACTCAGAACGTCCAGTTTTTACCGTAACACCACCTGAAGCAGTCAATATATCCGGTGTAGAGGAACCAATCAGAATCAACTGCTCAGCTACAGGCTCCCCTCTACCCAAAATCAGCTGGTACAAGAACAATATTACCCTACCTGCGAACATTTACGTCAACGATGACGAAGTAACCAGCGAGCTCGTGATTGGTCAACCTAAGCCCTCTCTCCAGATCACATATACGTGTGTTGCTCGTAACTTGTACAACGACGAACTAAAGACAAGTACAAAAATAGGTGAGATGTGCTTGGAAATGCAAGAGTAGTCTTTCCGTCCTCTTCGCCACAATTGGGAGATTGCGGTACCCTACGAGAGGAGGTCCTTTAATTGATTCCTCTCCATAAAAATAAAGGTGCCTTGATGAGAAGATCACTAAACCCCGACTCGCAGGAGAGCTATCATTTGGGACTAAAATAATATGGAAACAAGTCCCATTGCTTTTGCACTCAATTTATTTTTTCGACATCATAATATCTGCACTAAGAAGTTTAATCATAACCATTACAATTTCCTCAAATTTGATTGGCCGCTGCATTAAGCGCCCTATTTTTCACTAATCATTGTTATTAGTATATATATGGTCTTAATCGGACATTCTAATCTGACAGTTTGCTGTACCGGACACCTGTGATCAGACAGTTACATTAGCCAATCATATTAAGTGCTCTCAGCTGAATCCACCAATCACAGAAGTTATCACGATAACCATAGCAATAACCACTTACCCTACCAAACTGAGCTTTTTCCAAAATGGATCTGGACGAATTTGTAACACTAGACAGTGTCTCCGCCAGTGATATTTTCCCTAATTTTGGACATTTGGTATTCAAATGCTCTTTCACGAAACAGAATACATTTATTTTTCTCGGAAATTGTAACGTTTATGATTAATTGGTAACAGGACTTTGTGTCGTCCAATTCGGTCTGTAATCATAACCAAAAATTGGATTTTGTTAATCACTCGTATGATTACAGACCGAATTGGACTCCACTCAGTCCTGTTTCCCTTATAAATCAATAAAATTTCCTATATATCATACAACTTAAAAAGAAATGATCTTTTCATCTAATTTTCTAGCAGTCACCGCCAGAAGTAAATTCCCGGGAGCATTCTAGAAATGTATTAATACCCGCTGATCAACAGCTATAGAAATTTCTCTATTTACCACTAACGTCTTGACTGCAACCGTTCAAACGTTCCTTTAAACCTTTTCTTTCTGTTTTCTAGTTTTACGCGACTGCGGTGATCCAGGAAAACCAGACAATGCAGTTGCTGTAAGTCAGAGCAAGAATTACTGGGCAGGAGAGTATGTCAGGTACCTCTGTAATCCGGGATATGCCATGGTTGGTCCAGCGGTAAGAAGATGCTTGCCCAGCGGCAAATGGAGTGGAAATATACCAACATGTAAGAGTCAAAGTTAAAAAATTAAATATGTAAATCGATGATAATAATAATAATAATAATAATAATAATAATAATAATAATGTTGTCATCCCGTCTGTCTCGGGAGACAATGTAATCAGCGCCAAGGTTTAGTCAGTGGTTTAGTTGCAGCGCCTTCTGTGGCTGGGGAACAATCCGATTCTGGATCGGCAGGCTCTGTTGCAGTTGTTGCAGATGAATTCCGTGTATGGCTCTGTGGGTACTGATGCTGCCCACAGCCGTCTGCGCCTCGTTCCACTCCTCACACGCCAAAGTGCTTTCCTTGAAAGCAAGCCTCCGGTGACTTCGGTCTACAGCTACAGCTTCCCAAGCTGCAGGGTTGATATTACCTGCTTTCAGATCTCGTTTACAAACTTCTATGAAACGACGAGGAGGCCCCCTGCAGGTCTGGTTCCAGTGGCATAGCTCGCCATAGAGTACGTTCTTAGGAATCCTCCCGTCCTGCATGCAGCTGACATGGCCAAGCCTGAATGAGCAAGATGAACGTGGTAGCTACTCCCGCCTGTGCTAGAAAATCATTGTTTGGGACATTCAGGTAGTTAACGCCTGGACTGAGTGGTATGAATTATTGACAATAACTTCAGCTTAGATGATTGCACTGAATTAAAATTTGGCACACGTGAAGAACTTGTTGTCCTTAACATTTTAAAGTAAAAAGTATTGTGTTAATAAGTCCGCGATATGTCACGTGACCATTTTGCTAAAAATCGTAAATTATTGACCAATTGGTTGCCGGTTTAAGAAAAGAAATCGAGCAATAGCATTTTTCTAATTCATATTAAATACTTCTAACACTTCACGTTTGGAATGAGCGTCCAGTGCACTTCAATAAAAAACTTATGAGGGAAAACGTCATTTTAAATTCCCAAATTTAATCTTGAATTATTTAAAACTTCAATTTTAAAATTCGCGTACATTCATTCCAAACGTAGAAAGTAAGGTAGCTTATCCTTTTTCAGAAATGCCAATTTGTTTATCCAAACAAAGTAAAACTGCGAAACAAAGTAAATTCGCCACCAATTCGCCAGTTTTCTTCATTTTCAACATTAAGGCGCAAGAAAGCCTCAAAATTTACTTTTGGGGAAAAATCCGTTTTGTCCTAGGTCTCCTAGCGAGAGATATTGCTAGTCATTCGTATGCTCAGAGCACACCTTTAACCCAAGCCTTAAATCCCTTGAGACGGCCTTGCCAGGTGATGCCCTAAATCCTTCTGAGGCAGCGCTGGTGAATGGTGTGGAGTAGAGGTTCCAGGTCTCTCCCTAGAGCAACGAAGGACTGGTACACAAAGACCTTTATCACCTCGAGAGTGTAATCGCCAATGGAGAAGTTTGGGGCCCTGTTAACATCTTGGCCAAGGATTTTGGTCTTCTTGACACTGTTGGTGAGACCAAACCCGCTCGAAGGAGCTGATAAGTCGCCCTAAAGCACCCTCAGTGTGCGTGGGCGTTTAGGGCAGCATCGTCTGCAAACGGCAACTCCCTTATCAGTACTTTCCGAACCTTGGTCTTTGCTCGGAGGCGTGCAAGGTTGAAGAGATGTCCATCAATTCTGGTGTTAAGATACACACCATCCTCTAACTGACTGAAGGCGTAAAAAAGCAACAGAGAGAAAATGATGCCGAAGAGAGTAGGAGCGAGTGCACAGCCCTGTTTCACTCTGTTCTTGATTGGGAAGGGGTCTGAGGTTGAGCCATCGTACCGGAATTCATATACATCTATCACATTCACCTCTTTAACTGCGGCAGGATTAGCACCGTCAATAGAGCGCTTGACTGCAGAGTGGGAGGTTCGATTCCCGCTACCGGAACAACACACAAGGTCTAAAAAGACTGAGAAATGAAGATATTGCCTTTGCCCTGCAAACGGCTAGACCCTCGCGTGGCTCGGTTGACCACGTAAAATGGCGGTCCCGTCTCCAGTAAGAGACGTAAAAATATTGTCCCCAACTAGTACTTCCGTACTAAATACATTGACACTCAAATAGAGTGCATTGTTTTTGCAATGGAACACATGAACACATAATTGACCAACTCCCAACATCAGTGGCTTCATAGCTCAGTTGGTTAGAGCATCGCACCGGTATTGCGAGATCACAGGTTCAAACCCCGTTGAAGTACTGAATTTTTTTTTTCAGGCTTCTTACGCAATTGCATAAATTGCGTTCACAACTGCGAGGATCATTCTTCATTTGATTTCATTTCCGCAGTTCTTATATGAATAATTTCATATGCATCTATCACTTTGAGTACTTCGTCTGTTAAGGGTGGAACGTTAAGTTTAATCATGACAGGTAGGAGGTTGCTTCTTTCAACTGCTGTGTCAGTGACGAAGTTCTCCCTATAGTGTAGCTCTTGGTAGTATTCTGCCAATTTCTTCATCAGTTTGCCCCGGTCTGTAATGATGTCGTCGGCAGGTGACTTCAGAGGAGCAGTCTGGGCAGCGCTTGGACCGAACTCTATCTTTATGCCATCGTACATGGCGCGGATGTCCCAGAAGTCAGCAGAGAGTTATGGATGCTCTAACAGAGACAGCCAGTGGTCGTTGGCGAGGCGGCGAGCGATCCTTTAGGCATCGACGTCTTGGCCTTCCTGAGTGCAGTACGTGAGTGTCTTATCAGAGGACTGTACTCCCTCTTGTAGTCGAGCACTGCTGCTCTCTTGCAAAAGTTGCGATCACTGGCTCGAGCTTTCGGTAATGCCAGCTTCACAGCAGTCTGTCAGCAGTTTGTGTTCTGCCTCTTTTTCTTGCCAACGGCGTCCATGGCCGAGTTGTAAATAGCGAAACGGATATGGTAATTTTCCCCAGCGCTTGATGTGGAGAAGTCCTTTAGGACCTCTTCAATGGAGTCGGCGCCGCCCTCATGCAGGTCTGGTATTGCTGTCCTAGCCGTGTTGTAGCCTGCGATCAGGCGTTTTTGTTTTTGTTTTTCGGAAGGACACCTGATCGCAAATTTGCGCTGTGTTGATGCTTGGGTTGCGGGCTTGCCTTCCTACCCACCAGAGAGTAGTCGGTGTCGCATTCAGCGCTGTCGTAGCTGCGCGTACTGATGACACAGTTAAGAAGGGGTCTTCAAGTGATAACAAGATCCAGCTGGTGCCAGTGACGGAATCTTATCTGGGGTGACGCCACGATAGTTCATGGTTAGGCTTGGTTGAGACGAAGATGTTGGTTACGGATATTTCCAACCCGCTCGGTTACTAAGAAAGTGTACGTATGGTACTTAATGCCCTGAATTTCCGAGTTCTAAAAACACTCTCATTTCAATGCGAGTCTATGTACTGTACAAAACCTTTCGTTCAAAAAGAAGTTTTGTTTGCGTGAAATAAAAAAAAAATAATTTTTTTTATCTATAGCTTCGCACCTTGCCTCGCTTCGAATAAAAGTCCTTTACAAGTTACTTAATATTTAATGAAAGTCAATTCCCTTCATCGACTTTATTGTTTTGTCGTTTGTTTGTTTTTTCAGGTACAGAAAAGCCTGAATGCGAGCCTTACTGGACCATAGATGACAACACCAGACGGAAAAGTTTCACGGCGTCACGAAGTAGTAAGAATGACTACTATTTGGCTGAAGGATGGTACAGGTTTATATCAGGCAAACAAATGTCCACAAGTTGTAGTTATAGAACCAGCTATTGCGATACTTCATATGCAGGATGGTTGCAGGGAAGCCATCCGTCAGTAAAGGAAGGGGTGGTCTCTCGGAAAGTGTGTTTTGGCAACACTGGTTCACGTGGTTACAGTAGTTACTGTAGTTGTCAATATAGTACATATATAAAGGTGCGAAACTGCGGTTCTTTCTACATCTACAAACTGAAACCCACACCAAATCAGAACTGTCGTTATTGTACTGAATACTAACAGAGTCAAATAAAAAAGCAGTATTATAGGGAAAGTATATCACTAGGAAAACAAGTCCTTTTAGTTTTCTTACCAGCCGAATCTTGTCTAACAAAGAGTTGACTGACTCACTTATGTAATCTCAACCCCCATATAGGCCATATAGGCCAAACTTTGCTAAACGTCATTCTTTTCATTTTTGCTGATTAGCATACAAGTTAACCAATTGAACACGTCGCCAAACTATATATCTATTAACTCAAAAGTAGCATGAGTTGGTCAAATTGAGTAGCTTGTGCAAGTTTCAGCTCGCTGCAACCTATAACTAAAAACTGCGAAATTGCTGAGTGGCAAAAATATTAATGATCTCAGACATTCTTTGTAACTATGGGGAGTTAACAAAGAGAATTTTTTCGAAATTATTCATATATCGTGCTCACATTTTCAGAGATAACTTAAATTGTTATCCTCTTTCAATATTCAGAGACTGATGTTATTTTATTAGGTTAATATGTTAATGAGGCATGTTAATGAGGCAAAAATGTAAACAAGGATTCGAATTACTCGAACCAAACCAGTGTTTCATGGTTTTACAACCCTTAGATAACTCAGAAACCTTTTGCTAATTCATAGTGACTGTTTGCTTAGCTTCTCAAGTCATTTGTTCAACAGCCAAGTTAATCTAGTTAATTCAAACACCATTTGCCAAAGATAGCATGAATAAAAACATGCTGAAAAAAATGCTTTAATTGACTGCTAAGCTCTAGGTCTTATTTGTACCTGTTTTCCTGATTCTTCGTACAGAGTATGATTAAAAAGTAGGAGCTCTTCACACGCTATGCTTTTTTGACGTCAACATCGTACGTATGACCCACGCTAGGAGAACAGTATATGTAGCTATAATTGGTTTATTATAATAGGTCATTTGCAAGATGACGTCATTTAACTACGATCAGAATTTTTCAGGCTTCTTACCTTCTTGTGCAGATAGGACAATCACATGACTTTTTGAGGAGGGCATTTAGTTTATTTGTGGCCCGATTAGCATCATTTGCGCCCGCGGAGAGAGGGTGCAAATGATGCTACGAGAGACACAAATAAACTATATGCCCGACAAAAGTAATGTCGGGCAGTGATTATCATTATTATCATTACACAAGGCCAAATCGTGCAAATTTATTTAATAAGGAAAGATTGTTAAAAATCATGTTGCGGAATGCCCCCGCTTAGCCGTTTGCTCGGCGAAAAAAAGCGTTTTAGAGAGGTCAGTTTGTTATTTGCCCGCAATTGAATAAAGAAAAACGAAAAGAATCCCGGTCGTATTAGTAAAATGAAATGTTCTATTGTAATAATATCACATCTAACGGCACTGAGTGAGCTGGAGAGGCCTTACAAGTTCGTTCCTCTAGTTTCATGCGTTATAACTTTTGATCAAAACTATATTCTTGCATGAGATTTCTAGAAGATGTTTATTGCTCCATCGAGTACATGTATTCAGAGTTTCAGTAACCAGTATTCCCCCTTTGTTTTTTTTATGACATTCTGTAGTGTTTGCGACATGGAATAGGATACAGCGTGTAGAGCCACAGATTATCTATTTTGAGCTTTTTCATCACCTGGTACGCAAGAGCCACTTCTCCACTTCGGACCCCGCCCCCCAAACAACATTCTTTTTCAGCCTAGGCAGCTTAAAAAAAATTTAATTTAAGCATTCATCCAAAAACTGCAAGATAATCATCCCAGCCCCTATCCTCAGTAACGCTTTTGTACCTCTTTACAAATTTGAGACGAGCTGATCGTGTTTGGCAGAACGATAACAGAGGTTTTGTTGCCATCTCTGGACTCTAAACTTGGCTTGCTAACTATTGTAAGAGTTATCTCGTTGAGTTGTCTCTTTTGTATCTAACCTTCTTCAAAACTATTTTAGCTGCTTTATTCAGGACAATCAGTCTTCCTCTTCTTTTTTTGTCTTCAAAACCTTCATTTCTCGATCGATGACCATTTCACCACCCAAGATTCGGATTTTTTCAGTTTTTTTTAGCAGTTATTTCTACTGATAAGCCGGTAAATCGAAGTAAACTTCCTTATGCTTCCATGTAGCTGAACGTTTTTGCGTTTAGAGGGTTTTTTCTTTCATGATATTCACAAAAAACAAGGAAGGAGTTTGAGCAAACCGGGCTCTGACAAAATGCAAAAAATATGTGCCGGAAAAATGCACTCGCGCACGCGCCGCCTTTGGCGGGGAAGGGCACAAATAGAATATTAGAGTCACAAGATGGCACAACAAGCAGAAAATATTAAATTATATCGAAAGACACAACTTTTGTTCAAATGATTTGATGACCAAGTCCAATCGGACTACATTACAGTCCTATAAAGTGGAGGAACGAACTTTACGGACACCCTGTATATATCTCACTACTAGCAGCAGAGAATAACCAGGCCTCAATTGTTCGCTTTTGGGAGGTCTAAGAGGGGAGCAAAATGAATCGATAATGAAACAAACTTACAAAAACTTACCTACTCTGCTAGCATATGAAAAAAAGATAAGTGGAACTTTTGATGAACATTAAGTCTCAAATTTTAATTATTAACGGTCGGCCCACTCCCTTAATGTAGATCGGAGAGAGTAACTAGTAAAAGGGCGTAGAAAAGAAAAAAAAAAACGAAAAAAAGGCTTTGGCATAAAAGTTGGTCCTGGCTTCCTGGCTAGCAGGCTGGAAAACGACTAGCTGTTAAAATAAACTATTCCCACTTCTGGAGAAACATTGGTCATGTCGGTTTTAACTACAAAGAACTACAAAGGACCGTAAACGAATACGCCGCAGAACGAAGGATCTGCAGAAGAACTCATCTGAAAAAAAATATACAAAGTTGGACTATGAATGTTTTTTTATTAATTTCTCAAGTGCTAAAGCCAATACTTTGATCCTTTAGCTACCACATGAAAGTCATCTAAACCTGTCATTGATTTTATTATTATAATCATTATGATAAGTTTTGTTCCATCATTATGATTATTAAAATGATTTGTTATTTTTGTTTAATTTCGATATCATTACTATTATCGTCATCGTTGTCCTCATCGTTATCGTTAACTTTTTCACTATTATTCGAAATACTGCCTGTCCTCTTCAAGCCACAAGTCAGGTGTTTGCTTTGGTTGCAGTCGGGTCACAAGAACATGGTAGACAAAGAGGCCACTTGATGAATGTGCTACCTCCGTCGATACTTATTCATTTACATGCCATGGTCAGGTCTTATACTTGCAGTATAAGAGTCAGCCTCAAGAGGCTAGAGTGGGTATAATAGTCTACTGTATTTGTTCAGTTTCCCTTTCTGGTGCGAATGCGCGAACAGCCTAGAAGGATGGGAAATGACTTGCTGTTAAAATAAACTATTCCTACTTCATGTGGGTTATAATTTACGCCCTCGAGCAAACCATGCAACAACCTCCATTTGACCGAGAGGATGTCGTGAAAGGAACATTTTAAACGGAGTAAAAAGTTGTTAAATATTGATTTATTACTGATATAAAATTGAGCTTGCCTATGACGTGGACGTCTTGTTTTAATGTCAATGTTTTTGTCAGCTCCAGCTATCTGCTGATTCGCCTTTTGTCTTTCCTAGAAAACCCAAGTTTTACTGGTAGCTTTTCTCGGAAAAGCTGGCTTAGACCGGATTTGTTCCATCTACTTTTCGTTCAGTTTAGAAATGAACATACTGCCAAAAAAATGTAAATAGAAAAGACGACGGGGACTGAATGAAGATATGAGATAAAACGACATTCTGAAATTACAACCAATAATACACCACTTGTCAGCTTTTCAGGAATAAAGATCGGACTTTATAGCACATAGTCCTGCCTTAGTGATGTTTATGACAGCACGGTGTAATTAATATCAGACTCATATCCGATCTTTCTTGACAAAATGATGACCTCCAAGACCCACTCAGGGGGTGATTTATTATCATGAAGAAACAAAGACTATAGAATTTCATAATCTCTATAGACAATTCTATCTGCGCCAATGGCGTCAACTCGCTTTTCATCAAATCTCCACACCGTTGTGTCAAGTCTTCATCTGATTTTTACAATCGCATCGGTTGCTTTTCTTTCTTTCAAAGTCTATCACCTGGAGTGTGAGCTTTCCTTAATTCGAGGAAAAGTTTTTTCAAGTGAAGGCGACATAAAAGTGACCGAAGTGACCCCGCTGTCTGCAGATTCAAATAATGAAGAGCTCAGAAGAGAAAGAAATCGCCGAGATGATCAACAGAAGTTCAAATCATATACAGGAGACAACCTCAAGGCAGCATGTGTCCAGAAGTTGTTGGGCGATCTTCAGGTATCAAATTGTTTCCCTTTAATTTGTAGCATTTTTGTACAATTACTGAGCGATCGAGTGAGTCAAGTTGCCAGTTTCCGTTCGGACATATCTAGGTAGTGCGTCAGTGTTGCGAGTGTGCGAGTGTGCGTACGTGATTACTAGCCCTGGCACTTATAAACTATAGAAAAAGCGCAAAAATTTGGAATTAAGCAGTGCATTAGAAAAGTGCAGCAACTTTTAGACCTTCGGCGTGATTTTCTTTGAATCCCAATTTCCATGACCCGTTGAGTAATTATAACATCCACTACGGGAACCATTTTGAACTAATGGCACAGCATATCTCGTACGTATCTATAATAATAATGATGATGGTTTATTAAAATACACATGGTGGCATAAAAACTATGAATTACAATGTGCTTACATAAGTTACAACTAAAAATAAAATTACATTTGTTTCAGAGGGACCAGAGGGACTGGGATTACAGGCTATTTATAAGTTATTTACAATTCAGATATAGATAAAGGACAGTACTAGAGATAACTAGACTCGTAAGATTAGTTAATTTTCGCCATTGCTGGGAAAAAACTAGAACCGAAGCGTTTTGTTCTATACTGGAAGCGGCTAGAACTGCTACTGTTCCTAAGATGGTAAGAGTGGCATTCGGATCGCACGGGAGGGAGAAGGCGGTGCAGCTGGCCATCCGGGTTATTTTTGATATTGTTCTCCCTATTTTACCACGTGCTGTTAGTTAGTCTCCCTCGCAGCCGTTTTTAGTATCGTCACGCAACGCTCCTCGAGGAGCGTTGCGTGACGATACTAAAAACGGCTGCGAGGGAGACTAGCTGTCAGTCAAATCACTGAAAAACCTACCTAGACTGTTTCCCTTCCCTGATTTCAAGTTATAGTCCTGATCTTGGTATCTAAGCACCAAGGAGGGTTGGGTAGAGGTGGAGGCGGGATAGAAGATACATTTGATACTCTTTTACTCTTTTACAGCATGGCAGCAAGCGCTCGTCGATTTGACGATGATACGAAAAAGTAGAGGATTGTAAACAGTCTTTCCCTAAATTAAGAAATCATATAGGAAATTCCCTCGTGAGCTTCCGGAGTCTCGGTAGACTAACTATAAGTATATGTTCACAGTGTAAGTTGCACTAGTACTAGGCTGAGTCATCAACTGAACACAGTCGACCCACGATCCATTACAGTTTAACTTATTTGAATCTAAGGACCTCTTGCCTCGGGGGGCGGGGGGGGGAGTGCTCCCTTATATTTGTCTTATAGGTAACGTATGTGCCGCCCCAAAGGGTATGGTTTGTGCGCCTTTTTGGTCTGAAAACGGCGGGCAAAGGCTTTGCCTATTTTCGTCTGAATTAGCGTTTGTTTTTCCAGGGACTGAATACGCGTCAGAGTCCATGAACGTATTTGTCGTTTCAAGTCCAAATGAATAGGAAAGAAAGAGCAATATGCGAATTCGAAATGGATTTTAAGAAATCTTTTTGTTGGCGTTCTAATCTAAGTAATTATATCATAATTTCTGCCTACACTAGGTCTGAAAACGGGCATGGATCGAATTTTGGTTTGAGACAGTATTGTCAAGATTTATAGAACCAGGTTGCACATCCCCAACACGAATTCCCAGGAATACCTCCCACGGGTACTGCACAAATGTTTGTGATCATGTGAGAGATTAGCCTGTAGTGCAGGCTTATTTTGGGCGGGCGAAAGCTGCTTGTTTTTGTTCGCACTGTTGTAACCGCTATCTTTGTTATTACCGAGGAAGATTAGGGAGAGTAAAAACCATTTTCTCCCCTCTTTTCGAAATTCAACAGGCGCTTTAGTTCGCAAGCAAAACATTCGCGTGCCGGAAGAAAACGCCTGCACTGCAGGCTAGCGAGAGATGGATTAGAATGAAAATACCAAATATCTTGGTATTTGCTTCGAGTTATTTCTTACCAATCTTGTAAATAATTGACTTGCAATAAGTTATGTCACGTTTATATTATTATGGTCTGGAATAATTTTTTCTTCAGGTCATCGATGATGCAATCAATGGAACTGGAAAACTTGTCTGTATGAGAGGTC